TGTTCATATTTTTGTCCATTCTAAAACTGGATTGTCTTTGTTGAGTTGTAAGAGTTCTTTATATATTCTGTATTCAAGTTCCTTTTCACATGTATGAACTGAAAATATTTCTTCCTATTCCAAGGGTTGTCTTTCACTCTTTTGATGTGTCCTTTGGAGTGCAAAAGCATTTAATGTTGATTAACTTTTGAAGTCCAAAGGTCTTAATTTGATACACTGTATGTCACCTACTTTTTTTCATTGGTTGCAATGTTCTTTTGGTATCACATCTAAGAAACTACTGCCAACTCCAGTGTCATGAAACCTTTTGCACAAAATGCTTCTGTAAATTTTGTAGCTTTAGGTCTTAACAGTTGGTCTTTGATTAATTTTGTATATAGTGTAAGGCAAGTGATGGAAAACAGTAACATTCTACTATGTCATCCCATATGGTGGTTAGCAGTGCCATTCACATAGTCCAGAAACTCTTAGTGTTGTTTACTCAGTTAATCCCAAGGGATGGATATACTTATTTTTTGAAAGAGGCAAAATTGAAGTGGAGAAGAGATAAGTACCTCTTTATGAATTATGTTTATGTAGGAAGTTCAAACATTGATGGTCTGGTTTTAACATACATTGGGCCATATTAATTAAGTGTCCATGTATTCACATTTTATCAAGAAAATTTGTAACTCCCAAAGACCTATCTTAAATTTATTTTTCATCATGTCATGGCATCTATGTCTAAGATGGGATATTTTGGAACAATAGGTGCAAGGAGTATGGGAAATTTAGGCAAGGCTATAGTTTAAGTGAGGTACACCTATTTCCATCTATTTTTGTTACCTTATTATTATAGGGGAAATAATATTTAAATTTACTGGGGTTCCCAGTACAACTATTCTTTGAACCCCAATATTGATTAGTCTATGAAACCTTGTCAGTTAGCTTAAGTTAAATTTAATTTAGAGCTTATGCTGTAGAGGCACAAAATCTGTGCTTTTATCTTTTTGATAAATCTTTTTAATGTTTTGTTATGTTACATATAATTACATATGTAAGGTATGTTTTTAGTATATAAATCTTAATGTTGGTTTTGTTTGTTCAAATTATGGATCTTTGTTTTAATTTAGTTTTATGTGTAGAATTTATTTATATAAAGGTATATTAAGTAGTATATTATGTATCTAATTCATACACTTTTTATTTCCTCCTCAATATCTAGGGGTTTTTATTTTTTAAATAGGTAAGCAAATGAAGACTAATTTTGTTTACTGGACCTGACAGTTATGCCCTTGGCATTTAAGAATTTAAAAGTCCTCCCCCCACTTTTTTTCATACAAGGGGATTGCTTATAGCCACATAAAGCCCCTGCCTTTATTGTTTTATTTATTTTTTCCCTTTCGGTCCATTGTCTTACCCATTTTACTTAACTTAGTAAGCTCCTGGTGGTCTGTAATGCCCTGCTGTGAGCAGTAGACTCCCTTTCTAGACCATTCCTTTCAACCTAAGAGAGCAACATGGGGGAATCCTGATTTTGTAAGTTTTCAAGAAGATGCTGTTACATGTTGAAGGTAGTGGCACTCAAGAGAGCCCAAACACGCTGACCAGACTTACAAACTTGGTTTGAGTTGAGAAACCACTGAGGTTTCTTATGGGGAGCAAGAAAATATTCTGATTTTTTCCCCTCTTCATTAAACAATGAACCACTGGTCTCCATGGATGAGATCCCTCATATCCCATTAGGTTGGAGAAAAAATATCAACAGAAGCAAAGAAAGGAACAACAGAGAGATGTGAGGGCTGCTAGTGCCTTTGGCAGGCAAGGCTGCTGGGGATCTCCCAATCTTTGTCTCCCACAGGCAGCATCATGGCTGAGCAGATCCTTCATGGTGTTAACGCAGTGCCCAGGAATTTATGGCTGTTCTTACAAAGTGGTGGGGAGAAAACATTATCAGCTAGGTTAATAGCTGAGTCACTTTTACATCAACTGAATTAAAGAACATTTATTATTAGGAAAAAAAGATGGGCATTATATTAAGAATGAAAGGACAATTTACCAAAAACATAAAATTACCACATTCATACACATCATTATATTCTCTCATAATGAAACAAGAGAATTTGAAAAACAATCTGACTACCCATAGTGAGGCATGTTAACATCTCTCTCATAAAGGATAGATCAGGAGATGAGGTTTGTAATGATACAGATTTTAAAAAACACAATGGTATTATCTATCAGAGACAATGAGAATCTATTACACGTCACAGTTACAGGATACACATTGTTTTCAACCATCCTTAAAGGATTCATAGAACCTGACCACATGTATCAGTTGAATGAAATCTGTTGTAACAGAATCTTCCCACAAGAGTGGTTTAAACAATTTGGAGTTTATTTTTCTCATGTTACATAAAGTCCAGAAATAAGCAGTCTAGAATTGGCAGACTCAAATAACACTGTATGCTCCTTTTGTATAATCAGTGGTCTATGACAGTCATCCTCTTGGTCTATTATCCAGGAAAGAAGATGAGATAAGACAAGGGGTAAATGGTAAAGAGAAAATGCCAGAGATGCTTCCATTTCCATGAACTTCTTTAGAACCTATAAGCAGTGATCTCTGACTATTTTTACTGGCTGGAATTGGGGGCTCATGGGTGGGCACTCATAGCTGCAAGGAAGGCTTGGAGATGAAACCTTAAAAGACTGTCCACACTGCCAACTTGAACACAACTGTAGTTTTGTAACTTTTTGAAGGGAACAGAAAAATGGATGTAGGAAGCATTTCTTATATCTGACACATTAGACCACACAGCAAGTCTCCAACAATTTTGTTTGAATTTGTCATACAGAATCTGTATCATAAAGACCATGCATTCTGTGCATAATGCAATTATAGTTTTAACTAAAAGATAATATGCATAGTCTGCATATTAAAAAATGTATTTCTAAATACCCTATAGGTGCAAGACACCTCAATGAGAATTGGACAATATTTGTACTAAATTACAGTGAAAACATTACATATCAAAACCTTTATGATGTAGATCAGGGGCATTTAGAGTACTACATAACTTTTAATACTCATTAACTAATGAGCTGTTGCACTTCAAGGATGAAAACTCATTGATAAAGACAATTATAGAACTGTAGCATTTATAAGGTTGGTCTCAGAATAACCTAGGTCAAGAACTGTGCCTGAAGTCTTTCTACATTGGTCTCAATAGGGTTTTTTTCCAGTGTGAGTTCTGGAAAGGACCACTTAAGGCTTTCCTGTGTCATTTCATTCATAGGGTTTCTGTCCTGTATGTATTCGCTTGTGCATTATGAGGTTAGTGCTGGTGCTAAATGCCTTTCCACACTGAATACATTTATAGGGCTTCTCTCCTGTGTGAGTTCTCAGATGTACTCTTAGGCAAGAGGAATTCCTGAAGGCCTTTCCACATTCTTTACATGCATAGGTTTTCTCTCCAGTGTGAGTTCTCTTGTGCACAATCAGGTAAGAGCCTGTGCTGAAGGATTTTCCACACTGATTACATTCATAAGGCTTCTCTCCAGTGTGCGATCGTGTATGTTTCTTAAGGGATGACTGATCAATGAAGGCTTTCCCACAGTCACTGCATTTGTAGGGTTTCTCTCCAGTATGGGTTCTCGTATGTTTCTGAAGGGATGACGGAACAGTGAAAGCTTTGCCACATTCCTTACAGTCATAGGGTTTCTCCCCAGTGTGAGTTCTTTTGTGCACATTAAGATGTGAGCTCTGGCTAAAGGATTTTCCACAATGATTACACTGGTAAGGTCTCTCTCCAGTGTGAGATCTCATGTGTTTCTTAAGGGAAGACTGAAAAACGAAGGCCTTCCCACAGTTCCTGCATTCATAAGGTTTATCTCCAGTATGAGGTGTCACACATTTCTCAAGGGACAAGGGGCCAGTGAAAAGTTTCCCAAGCTCATTACACTTGGCACTTTCCTCCACAGTACACATTTTTTTGGGGACACTAAGGGAAGACGTTTTTCCACAGTCACTGCCTTCACAGAGTCTCTTTCCAGGAGGTACTGGCTCATGTACTGAAAAGCAGGCATGTAAGCTGAAGGACATAAGACACTGTCTACAATCATAAGATTCCTTTCCCATGAGGGTTCTTAAGTGTTTCTGAAGGGATGACTCTTGACTGAAAGGTATGCCACAATCATCAAACTCAAAAGTTTTCTTTCCACTGTGATTACTCACATAACTCCTAAAAGTTGAAGGATGGCTGGAGCAGTTCCAATATTCTTTATTTTTGTAGTATTTCTTTCCCTTGCAATACCTTGAACAATTAAGGTGACAGTTCTTCCTGAAGAATTTTCTGCTGTGATCAAATTCCAAGGGCTTCTCACCAGGTTGAGGTGGTACCTGTTGAATAAGAAATAAGTGAAGACTAAAGACTTTCTCACTTTCATTACACCTAAGTGACTTCTTCTCCTTGTTCAGTCTACCATATATAGGAAGCACATTATGCTGACTCGACATCTTTGCTATTTTCAGTGCATGCATTTGAATTTTTTTGCTTCATTCTTCCAAATTGAATAAGTTAAATGGTCTACTCAGAGCTCCACTGTATTTATTACTATAAAAGGGCCTCTTAAATATAGAGTTTTTCTAATAATGAATGAGAATGAATTATGTATTAAGTACTTAACAGAATCACATTTATAAAAATGTTTACTTTGGTATTTTCTGCAAGGCAGAAAGTGTTGAGCTAGGTTTAGAGGTCTCTCTACCTTTACGAGATTTCTAAAATCTTTCCTGAGATTGCATTCTGGGAAGTAAATGCCCCTTGCCGCAACTGTCTCCATTTGTTTGGGTGCCACTGTTTTAACTCACTGAAATTCAGATTTCTCCTACTGTAAAGAACTAGGAGTCACTCCTAATGAGTCTTACCATTTTTATGTGATTAGAATTTTTCTCCTCAGGAACATTCTGCATCGGAATTGCATCTTTTGATTTAAGTTGTATATCCCAATCTGAAACTGAACAGGGAACATTTTTATAATATTTTTTTGGGAGAAAAAGTAGGGATGAAAGAAAATGGGAGGCAGGAACCCATGAATTTATTTTAAAATAATGACATTAAATATAGAAAGAAAACGTAAAAGAGAAAATGCGACCACTGATCAGAAAAATTATTTTAGGTACTTGGCTCTGGGAGGAGATGCCAATGATAAGAACAAGCAATAAAAATGGGATTTTTTTTTTACTTAGAAAGGATTCTGGAGGTTGGAGAAAATAAGAGGGTATAATCTGGAAAGCAACGTAGGAAGAACTGAACAAAAGTATTCAAGGAAATGTGAAATTGGAAGAGAAATTCAAAGTTCCTTCTCTGAGACCAGATGAAAATATGGATAAACAGTGAGCCAGTGAAAAAAGGAAGCTTACATAATGGCCTCAGCCTTCTTTTCCCATGCTGATGACACCCCAAGTGTATCACCCATCACTGGCTATGGCTGCTCCACGCAGTGGCCCCTTTCTGCCTGGAGCTCACCTGTACAGGCACCTTGGAGAATTCCTCTCCATTCTGTCCTCAGTTCTTCCTGCTCCACCTCAGCAAACAGGCTGCTTCTGTAGAGATGATACCCTGTTCATGGGGAAAGACACTTAACTATGGAGGGTGGGAGTGGGAGACTGTGAAGGGGGCAAGAAATCTAACAAAACTGATTCTGCTGCTTTGGTCTCAGAGGATTCTGATAGGCAAGTGCAACTTTGGGAGAAGCAAGACAATTAGACCAGAGCTTGTTCACGAGGGCCCTGAAACAAACACCCACAATCCTTGTCCCACATGGAACTCACCCTTGAAATCCAAGACCAAAATCAGATATACACTAAATCTTCTAATAATAGTGCACAGGAAATCAGTGCATTTTCAAAGGAAGCCACAAGATGGCTCCATAAGAGCAGGGATTATTCATTTTGTGTTTACCATGTGTTGCCATTCTTTTCAGATTCTGGAACACAATCTATGATGGAAAACTTATCTGCGACATGAAGAATGAGGCTGACCTTACCCATGGAGACCAGGTTCCTAAAGTTCTCCAGCATCACATCTCTGTACAGGATTTTCTGAGCAGGGTCCAACAATGCCCATTCCTCCTGGGAGAAGTCCACCGCCACTTCCTCAAAGGTCACTGAGTTCTAAATAATCACACACATTCTGAGTCAGCCAAGGACAATGTCTAATGATGTACCAGAGGATGGTGGGTGGGGCTGCCAGGCCTGGGGAAGGAGACCCAGTACACACAGGCTCAGTTGTGTTTTAGAGGCCTCTCATAATCTGCCCCAACACTGTTTCCTCTTTTGCTCTCAAAGCCTGGACCATCTCATCTAGGCACACAGTTTTCTAAGATACAGTTGGCCTGATATTTCCCTAACGAGGTCGTGTGGACTCTTCCAGTCCTGTTCATAGTCTGGTACAGACTGAATGCACTATAGGATATGAATAACACTTGGAAAATGAACGAACTATTTTCCTAGTGAAAAATCTCCCTTCCTTCATAGCATCCAGTAGAATATAGAACTAATATTCAACCTGGAAGACTATCTGGAAAAAAAAAATTAACAAATGTTGTAGGAACAAAAGACTTCCTAAGGCATTCTCTCTCCCATTCTAAGAAGCCCAGAACTGGGGTAGCCCACTGTGCTATAAAGCTGTGGGTCACAGGCAAGAGAAGTGTCCTTCGGGAATAGCAATGGTTTTTTTGGGAATGGAATAATTTCCTACATACCTGTGACCAGGTTGTCAGTAATCCTGCAGCCATTCCTCCTCTTCTGTGTCTCCCTCCTGGCCAGGAGTACTGAGAAAGCAGACCTAGAGAAGAAGAAAGAAGCCATGAGACTCCAGGCCTGACAGATATTCAATACTCAAGAGGCCTAGTAGCTTCTTCATACTAGCTTCAGAGTAATCACATACAAATACACATGCACATATACAGACACAGAGTACAGTTCACTGTAAGACTTCATCTCCTTTGTCCAGGAATAATTAGGAACTGGAAATACAGTATGTGCTCTAAAATTTTTTTTTCCTAAACTGAGCCACCAAAAATGCCTAGAATCAGTAACAACCCAGGAGCAATGAGCGCCTCTAGTGCCAAAATGCCTCTGAATGCCATTTTCCCATGGAAGAAACCGGGGCTCACTTGGGAAATTAGATGACTGCACGCCTGAACGAGAAGTGTTCAAGAGCAGCCTGGAATATATTATACTGGAAAGCAAAAACCCAGCAAAGACTAATGTGGTTGTGTCAAAAAGACACAGAAGACAACTTAGAAGGGCTCCCACTGACTGAGGATGGAACAATTTAATCAAGATTAATGACTGCAGTCCAGTGAAATATGACAAATGTAAAACAAAATCACAAGTTCATGATGATGCTGAAAAACCCTCACTGGTCACACTAGGAGTGGCCAGGATATCAACTTATTTTTCTGAAAATTCATAAAAGGAAAGAATCAGGCATGTATCTCTCTCTCCTTTACCAAATAGTTTTGATAAGGGAAAGCTCTGTAACCTCAGATCTTGAGTTGAACAACACCAACTGTAAAAACACATTCTGAGACATCTAGGGTGAATTGAATGCAGACTGGGGATTAAGGTGAATTGGTAAAGAGCAAAGCAGCTGACACCCAGGAGATGCCCTGATACTATAAGCTGGGCCTGGGTGTTTGTTGTCTGTTGAACATGAACAGTTTCACAGAACTGCTGATGTGGCCACTCTGAACACAGAGAAAACAGAAACATCATCTAAAACCACGAAACATCCCCTTTTCTGGCCAAAATAAACAACCGCTGCTTCTTAATCAATTACAGCTTGGCTCCTGGTGATACCCTGCTCATGGGGAAAGACACTTAACTGCGGGGGGTGGGTAAAGCTTGACTAAGACACTCCATCACAGAATTACCCTTGCTTCCTGACATCTAACTCAGAAACCCTGTCTTCAAAGCTAACATAAGCCCAAATCCTTTAAGTCTGATACCCTCTGACTAAGAGGTCACAAAGTTCACCGTGGTGTACATTTGGCACCACCACATGAGTAACAAGCCCAACTTGTTTAACTACAGGTGGGTCCCAACTTGTTCAGTTGATGACCACTGAAAATTCCAAGAAATAGTGTTAATTTCACAAATGTGATAACAGTATTGTGAAAATGCTAAAAGCTTCGTTAAAAGTTTATTTTTATTAATGGATCATCTCCTGAGTCTCTTCATCTGGAATAGTTCTCCCTTCCTCTTTTAGCACCAAATTGGGTTAGGCAGGTTTATCCTCATGATGTCCTTTCTTTTCAGAGATACAACTTAAATTATGGGTGAAATGATATGATGTCTGATATCTGTTTTAACATGCTCCAGAAAAATAAAACTGAATTTTAATAGTAAGCAAGGGGAAGAACAGGCATATTAACAATGGCAAAATCATGGTAATCACTGAAGCTGGGTGATAGGTATATGGAGGCTTCATCATAGCACCCTCTACTCCTGAGTATGTTTGAAAACCTGCAACTACAAATTGCAAAGAAACTTCTTTACAAAAAGGGATAGCAAACATGTTTGTGTCTAGACCTCAGCATCAGATATAGCAGAAAAAGAAAATCTTAGGTTTCTTTCCAAATTCCTGTTATTCATATAGTCCAAAAAACCTCAAGAGAATAATTTCATTTAAAGAGGGTTGTAGGTGCATTTCTCCACTAATTGCAATTAGTATGAGCAAATGGACCTATCTCTGAAAAACTCAACTTCAAGCCAGGCCTCAAAGAACACCCACATATACAGTTCTAAATAAATAAAAGGAAGTCAAGTTTAAAAGACTATAAAAGAATAATTACTCAGTGTACCATGAGTGAGAAGCACCCAAAACATCCAGGAAGCAGGACAATAAAACACATACAAACCACTTCAGATTTTAGACTCTTTACACATAGAATAAAAAACTATATTTAACAGGCTTAAAGAAATTAAGAGAAACTTGGATGAATATGAAATAAGAGGCTATAAAGACATTCATACAAACATAATTTTTGGAAATGATTCATACACTTCCGGGAGCTAGAAACTCAATGCAATGATTTATTGCCAGATTAGAACTCTGCTAGCAACGATTTGATGAGAAACTAGTTGGGAATTTCCTAGAATTTTAAAGAACACTAACCTTTGGAGTATAGAAATACAATAAATCCCAAGATGAATGAAAAAAAAAAAAAAGAAATCTACATCCAGATTCATTATAGTTTTTCTTCTTGGTGTTTGTTTTTCCCCCTCAATAATCTTAAAAGCAGCCAGGGAAAAACAAAAGTCACCTAAAAAAGGAAGAACAAACTGACCATTTCTCAAGAACAATGGATGCCAGAAGAAAGCAGGGTGATACCCTTAGTGTGCTGAGAAAAAAGTAAATATCAACCTAGAATCCTAAATACAGTTCAAGTATCTTACTACAGTTTCAAGGGTGAATTTATGAAATCAAACCTAAATCTAGTCAAGCTTCCAGACTAACTACTGTTACTAGGAAATAAACAAGTTAACACAAAGCAGCGGCAATTGGCCAAATATATAATGTAGGATATCTGAAGGACAAATAACTTGATATCTCTAGTAAGTGAATAGATTAAAAAAAAAAGGGAAGAGGAGATAGAACAGAAATTTAAGAGATATAAATTAAGAAAACAGTGTGGGAGCCCTATTAGGATTCCGATTTGAACAAACCAACTGTAGAAAGATATTCTGGAGTTAATCAGAGAACTTCAGAGTTTCCCAGCTGGGAAAATGCTGTGGTGGTTATGTACCAGCTAGAGATGCATACTTGAAAGGATATGGTGTCTGGAATTTGCTGTAAAACAAAACCAAAACCAAAAACCTTCTGAAATAAGAAAAAGCAGGTGAATAGGCTACAAGCACAGTCTAACACTATTATCTGCACCACATAATACAGAAGTCACTGGTCACATATGGCTATTGAGCCTTTGAAATGAGGTGAGCATTATTTCAGTAATTTAAAATTTAAATTTAAATAGCCACATACAGCTAGGTCAGGCCTAGATAATCCAAGACTGGTAAAATACGAGTAATCGTCAAAGTTGAGCACTGCTGACGGATTCAATATACTATTCGCTCTACTTTTGTCTGTGCTTGAAAATTCCCATACAAAAATCTTAAAAATTTGAAAGTAGGGTAAAATAAAGACAATTTTAAGCAGAGACCCGAGAAAACTTACTCATCCAATGACAATCACTAAAGGAAATCCTCAGGATTCCAGGAAATAGGAACTTGTACACCTGAAATGTTAAGAAAACTAGAGTGAACAAAAATAAAATGGGTAAAACAACTAAGTGAACCTTGATTATATAAATTATTATTATTAATAACATCTAATTTGTGAGATGGAAAGCAAGCTGGAATTCTAAAGCTGAATAATAAAAATACATATACTGGGAGAAAGGCAACTGCAATTTTAGGCTCCTTCTATTCTTTCAGTAGGGAATAAAGACAGTGATTAGCTTTTAACATCAAGTATGCATGAAAAAATTGACAGGATAAACACTGAAGGAACTCACACAGTGGGTTTAACTCACAGTGTAGGGAAAACAACATGGAGAAAAAACTGAGTTATTCCAAAGGTAAGAAAAACAAACAGGGAAGAGAAACAAACAAAAGCAGGTAGAATGAAAAGCACTTTGGAAGATGGCAGACAGAGCTAAGTGACTTCGGCAGTCACCACAAACGTGCCGGGCAATGGACTAACTCTGCCGTTTGAAAGCAAAGACTGCCATGCTGGATTAAGATAAATACCAGCTGTGTGTTTTCCTAAGATGAATCCAAAACCAAAACCACACACAGACTGAATCTCAAACATGGAAACAATGTGCCTGGCATATATTAACCAGAAGTTTTTTTGGCTAACCTATTTTCACACACTTTAAGACAAGAGGCATTACAGAAGGCAACTACATTAGGATACAATATTCAATTAACCAGGAAGATATAAAGATTCTTTAGTTATACACACTAATTGCACAGCTTCTGAAAATTTATAAACAGAAGCTAACAGAAGTAAAGCAGAAACAGATTGCCATCAGTGTAAGATTTTACCACATTCAGTAATGGATGGCTCAGAGGGAAATAAAGAGGATACACAGATTTGAGTAGTAAATTGAACAATCTTCATCTAAAACACTGACAGTACACTCAATAAATGCAGAAAACACATTTTCTTTCAAGCACATGTGGAATGTTTATGAAAATTAGCCCTACTGCATCTTATGAAACTAGTCTTAAAACTTTCAAAGATTTTGCATACACATACATCCTCTGACCAAAATGAAATTAAGTTATATATTAATAAAAAGACAATTATGTTGAACTATAAGAAACCGCTATTTTTGTAGGTGAAAAAAGGTTCAATGTCAGTTGAATAACACTTGGAAAATGAACGAACTATTTTCCTAGTGAAAAATCTCCCTTCCTTCATAGCATCCAGTAGAATATAGAACTAATATTCAACCTGGAAGACTATCTGGAAAAAAAAAATTAACAAATGTTGTAGGAACAAAAGACTTCCTAAGGCATTCTCTCTCCCATTCTAAGAAGCCCAGAACTGGGGTAGCCCACTGTGCTATAAAGCTGTGGGTCACAGGCAAGAGAAGTGTCCTTCGGGAATAGCAATGGTTTTTTTGGGAATGGAATAATTTCCTACATACCTGTGACCAGGTTGTCAGTAATCCTGCAGCCATTCCTCCTCTTCTGTGTCTCCCTCCTGGCCAGGAGTACTGAGAAAGCAGACCTAGAGAAGAAGAAAGAAGCCATGAGACTCCAGGCCTGACAGATATTCAATACTCAAGAGGCCTAGTAGCTTCTTCATACTAGCTTCAGAGTAATCACATACAAATACACATGCACATATACAGACACAGAGTACAGTTCACTGTAAGACTTCATCTCCTTTGTCCAGGAATAATTAGGAACTGGAAATACAGTATGTGCTCTAAAATTTTTTTTTCCTAAACTGAGCCACCAAAAATGCCTAGAATCAGTAACAACCCAGGAGCAATGAGCGCCTCTAGTGCCAAAATGCCTCTGAATGCCATTTTCCCATGGAAGAAACCGGGGCTCACTTGGGAAATTAGATGACTGCACGCCTGAACGAGAAGTGTTCAAGAGCAGCCTGGAATATATTATACTGGAAAGCAAAAACCCAGCAAAGACTAATGTGGTTGTGTCAAAAAGACACAGAAGACAACTTAGAAGGGCTCCCACTGACTGAGGATGGAACAATTTAATCAAGATTAATGACTGCAGTCCAGTGAAATATGACAAATGTAAAACAAAATCACAAGTTCATGATGATGCTGAAAAACCCTCACTGGTCACACTAGGAGTGGCCAGGATATCAACTTATTTTTCTGAAAATTCATAAAAGGAAAGAATCAGGCATGTATCTCTCTCTCCTTTACCAAATAGTTTTGATAAGGGAAAGCTCTGTAACCTCAGATCTTGAGTTGAACAACACCAACTGTAAAAACACATTCTGAGACATCTAGGGTGAATTGAATGCAGACTGGGGATTAAGGTGAATTGGTAAAGAGCAAAGCAGCTGACACCCAGGAGATGCCCTGATACTATAAGCTGGGCCTGGGTGTTTGTTGTCTGTTGAACATGAACAGTTTCACAGAACTGCTGATGTGGCCACTCTGAACACAGAGAAAACAGAAACATCATCTAAAACCACGAAACATCCCCTTTTCTGGCCAAAATAAACAACCGCTGCTTCTTAATCAATTACAGCTTGGCTCCTGGTGATACCCTGCTCATGGGGAAAGACACTTAACTGCGGGGGGTGGGTAAAGCTTGACTAAGACACTCCATCACAGAATTACCCTTGCTTCCTGACATCTAACTCAGAAACCCTGTCTTCAAAGCTAACATAAGCCCAAATCCTTTAAGTCTGATACCCTCTGACTAAGAGGTCACAAAGTTCACCGTGGTGTACATTTGGCACCACCACATGAGTAACAAGCCCAACTTGTTTAACTACAGGTGGGTCCCAACTTGTTCAGTTGATGACCACTGAAAATTCCAAGAAATAGTGTTAATTTCACAAATGTGATAACAGTATTGTGAAAATGCTAAAAGCTTCGTTAAAAGTTTATTTTTATTAATGGATCATCTCCTGAGTCTCTTCATCTGGAATAGTTCTCCCTTCCTCTTTTAGCACCAAATTGGGTTAGGCAGGTTTATCCTCATGATGTCCTTTCTTTTCAGAGATACAACTTAAATTATGGGTGAAATGATATGATGTCTGATATCTGTTTTAACATGCTCCAGAAAAATAAAACTGAATTTTAATAGTAAGCAAGGGGAAGAACAGGCATATTAACAATGGCAAAATCATGGTAATCACTGAAGCTGGGTGATAGGTATATGGAGGCTTCATCATAGCACCCTCTACTCCTGAGTATGTTTGAAAACCTGCAACTACAAATTGCAAAGAAACTTCTTTACAAAAAGGGATAGCAAACATGTTTGTGTCTAGACCTCAGCATCAGATATAGCAGAAAAAGAAAATCTTAGGTTTCTTTCCAAATTCCTGTTATTCATATAGTCCAAAAAACCTCAAGAGAATAATTTCATTTAAAGAGGGTTGTAGGTGCATTTCTCCACTAATTGCAATTAGTATGAGCAAATGGACCTATCTCTGAAAAACTCAACTTCAAGCCAGGCCTCAAAGAACACCCACATATACAGTTCTAAATAAATAAAAGGAAGTCAAGTTTAAAAGACTATAAAAGAATAATTACTCAGTGTACCATGAGTGAGAAGCACCCAAAACATCCAGGAAGCAGGACAATAAAACACATACAAACCACTTCAGATTTTAGACTCTTTACACATAGAATAAAAAACTATATTTAACAGGCTTAAAGAAATTAAGAGAAACTTGGATGAATATGAAATAAGAGGCTATAAAGACATTCATACAAACATAATTTTTGGAAATGATTCATACACTTCCGGGAGCTAGAAACTCAATGCAATGATTTATTGCCAGATTAGAACTCTGCTAGCAACGATTTGATGAGAAACTAGTTGGGAATTTCCTAGAATTTTAAAGAACACTAACCTTTGGAGTATAGAAATACAATAAATCCCAAGATGAATGAAAAAAAAAAAAAAGAAATCTACATCCAGATTCATTATAGTTTTTCTTCTTGGTGTTTGTTTTTCCCCCTCAATAATCTTAAAAGCAGCCAGGGAAAAACAAAAGTCACCTAAAAAAGGAAGAACAAACTGACCATTTCTCAAGAACAATGGATGCCAGAAGAAAGCAGGGTGATACCCTTAGTGTGCTGAGAAAAAAGTAAATATCAACCTAGAATCCTAAATACAGTTCAAGTATCTTACTACAGTTTCAAGGGTGAATTTATGAAATCAAACCTAAATCTAGTCAAGCTTCCAGACTAACTACTGTTACTAGGAAATAAACAAGTTAACACAAAGCAGCGGCAATTGGCCAAATATATAATGTAGGATATCTGAAGGACAAATAACTTGATATCTCTAGTAAGTGAATAGATTAAAAAAAAAAGGGAAGAGGAGATAGAACAGAAATTTAAGAGATATAAATTAAGAAAACAGTGTGGGAGCCCTATTAGGATTCCGATTTGAACAAACCAACTGTAGAAAGATATTCTGGAGTTAATCAGAGAACTTCAGAGTTTCCCAGCTGGGAAAATGCTGTGGTGGTTATGTACCAGCTAGAGATGCATACTTGAAAGGATATGGTGTCTGGAATTTGCTGTAAAACAAAACCAAAACCAAAAACCTTCTGAAATAAGAAAAAGCAGGTGAATAGGCTACAAGCACAGTCTAACACTATTATCTGCACCACATAATACAGAAGTCACTGGTCACATATGGCTATTGAGCCTTTGAAATGAGGTGAGCATTATTTCAGTAATTTAAAATTTAAATTTAAATAGCCACATACAGCTAGGTCAGGCCTAGATAATCCAAGACTGGTAAAATACGAGTAATCGTCAAAGTTGAGCACTGCTGACGGATTCAATATACTATTCGCTCTACTTTTGTCTGTGCTTGAAAATTCCCATACAAAAATCTTAAAAATTTGAAAGTAGGGTAAAATAAAGACAATTTTAAGCAGAGACCCGAGAAAACTTACTCATCCAATGACAATCACTAAAGGAAATCCTCAGGATTCCAGGAAATAGGAACTTGTACACCTGAAATGTTAAGAAAACTAGAGTGAACAAAAATAAAATGGGTAAAACAACTAAGTGAACCTTGATTATATAAATTATTATTATTAATAACATCTAATTTGTGAGATGGAAAGCAAGCTGGAATTCTAAAGCTGAATAATAAAAATACATATACTGGGAGAAAGGCAACTGCAATTTTAGGCTCCTTCTATTCTTTCAGTAGGGAATAAAGACAGTGATTAGCTTTTAACATCAAGTATGCATGAAAAAATTGACAGGATAAACACTGAAGGAACTCACACAGTGGGTTTAACTCACAGTGTAGGGAAAACAACATGGAGAAAAAACTGAGTTATTCCAAAGGTAAGAAAAACAAACAGGGAAGAGAAACAAACAAAAGCAGGTAGAATGAAAAGCACTTTGGAAGATGGCAGACAGAGCTAAGTGACTTCGGCAGTCACCACAAACGTGCCGGGCAATGGACTAACTCTGCCGTTTGAAAGCAAAGACTGCCATGCTGGATTAAGATAAATACCAGCTGTGTGTTTTCCTAAGATGAATCCAAAACCAAAACCACACACAGACTGAATCTCAAACATGGAAACAATGTGCCTGGCATATATTAACCAGAAGTTTTTTTGGCTAACCTATTTTCACACACTTTAAGACAAGAGGCATTACAGAAGGCAACTACATTAGGATACAATATTCAATTAACCAGGAAGATATAAAGATTCTTTAGTTATACACACTAATTGCACAGCTTCTGAAAATTTATAAACAGAAGCTAACAGAAGTAAAGCAGAAACAGATTGCCATCAGTGTAAGATTTTACCACATTCAGTAATGGATGGCTCAGAGGGAAATAAAGAGGATACACAGATTTGAGTAGTAAATTGAACAATCTTCATCTAAAACACTGACAGTACACTCAATAAATGCAGAAAACACATTTTCTTTCAAGCACATGTGGAATGTTTATGAAAATTAGCCCTACTGCATCTTATGAAACTAGTCTTAAAACTTTCAAAGATTTTGCATACACATACATCCTCTGACCAAAATGAAATTAAGTTATATATTAATAAAAAGACAATTATGTTGAACTATAAGAAACCGCTATTTTTGTAGGTGAAAAAAGGTTCAATGTCAGAAATTTCACATGGTCAAATCTAATAGAAAAAAGCCACACATGTAGATTTCAGAGAACATCACACTTATGAATAATTCCTGGGTAAAAGATATAAATTAAATTAGAAATTAGAAAATTGCAGAATACCATGGTTATTGATGAGTTCTAAGTCCCAGAACTTATAGGGTGTAACCAAAGTAGGCCTACAGAAAGAAGCTTCATATACTTATACTGGGAAAAAAATTAAGTTAAAAATTTGTCTAAGTCTCCAACTTAAGAATTTAGAGGAAAGAAAATCTCAAAATAAATGAATAGGAGTTGAAACAAAGAATACGATGAACAAAAAACAGGATCAGTCAAGCAATAAAAATTGGTTCTTTGAAAATAAAAATGGGAAAAGGTCATGCAAGATTATTCAAGAAAAAAAGGAAAAAGGCTCAAAGAAAGTGAAAAAGCAAAAAAGCCCTACAATGATATATGCTTCAGAGATAAAATATTATCATTCATAAAGATATTATGGTAGCTTTGCCAGTCAAGCCCCAAACTCACAGGATAGATCAATTCCTATAGAAATAAAACTTAACAAAAAATGATTCTGTAGAAATAACAAATCGTCTAAAATAATTACAAAAAATGAAGCAGATGATGTTTGCACAAGCACTGTGAATGTGATTAATGCCACTGAATTGTAGTTTTAAAAATGGTTATAATGGGAAGCTTTATGTTATGTTTAGCCACAATAAAAAATGTTAAAAAAATGAAATAATCTGGGCTATTGCTGGCCCCTTCAGAGAGGCTTCAGGTCTCTGCAGCCCTAATAGAATCACTGCCTCCATATATGCCTTAAAACAAAACCCCCACAAAAACATAATGAAGAACTAGGCATTTAAATTTCCCCCACAAAGGAAAAACCAGGCTCAGAGGTTCTGAAAGTCAGTTCTGCCATTTAAAGAAGAGAGAATTCCAATCTGAATCAAAGTTTTCCAGGGATTACTCATTTATGAAGACTCTAGTTACTTAAGACTATACTTCAGTGTATTTGGTCACATATTTGCATATTATTAAATATGAGTAGAGGTAGACTTAGAAAATCTGAAAGGCAGGAGTTATGTATTTGGAAGGTTTTATTATAAATTTACCTTTCATTAAAAACTCCAGAATTGTGCATGATCTAAAATGCCATGTTTGCATTTTGACTATTCTATTCAGTACCTTACACACTTACCACAGGCAGAAGGTGCTATTTTTAAAACAATTTCACTTATCCAGGCATTGGCTTAAGGGTTAAAAAAGAAGACTCTTCTTTAGATGTGTAATATTGATATCAAACAAAGCACAACCATAAGAATACAAAATGATAGGCAAACCATTAATAAATAGATACAAATAATCAAAAGAAAATAAGTTCACACCACATACTTAAGTAAATGAGAAAGATGCTGTATCAGAAAAAAGTTTATCCCAGGAATGCCAGAGAGGCATATTAGACAATATGTTTCGTTAACAGATCAAAGGAGAAAACATTATTGAGATGATACAGTAAACCTCTTCGGTAATATTCAACATTACATCATGACTTAGAAATAATTTTAGCCAACCCTATTACAAAAAAAGCAATTTAAAAAAATGGGCAAAAGATCTGAGTATTTTTCTAAAGGAAATAGAAATGGCCATTAAGAATATGAAAATATGCTTATCACTAGCCACGAGTAAAATGCAAATCAGAACTCTGATGAGCCACCACTTGACATGAATTTTGATGGTTGTAACCAAAAAAATAAATTGGCGAGGAGATGGGAGAAATCGTACTCACATTTGTGGAGAGGAAAGTATAATGGTGCAGCCACTCTGGAAAAAGTCAGGCAGCTCATCAGAAAGTTAAATATGAAGTTATGATAACCAGCCGTTCCTTTCCTAGATACATACCTAATAAAAATGAAAACATAAGTCCACACAAAAACTTGGACATGATTGTTCATGGCAACATTATTTTTTAATAGCCAAGAAGTGGAAACAACCCAGCAAATGATGTGTGGATAACATGTGATGTTTCCATACAATGGAATATTATTTAGCTATAGAGAAAGGAATTATGTACTAATATATGCTACAGTGTAGATGAACCTTGAAAACATTATGCTAAGTGAAAAAAGCCAGTCGCAAGTGTGAGAACACACTCACTGGTCCAAATTCAATAAGTGGACAAGGAGACAAAGAGAACAGCAGAGCGAGGCTTTAATGATGGTCTTGCAAGACCGGGAGTCTGGTGCCAATAATTTATCTCCTAGTGCCCTGGTTCCTCATTGGCTGAGTACTACAAGGTTCACATTCTTTCCCGGACGTGGCCTAAGCCAGTTGTATTTTTCCTTTACATTTGTCTTAATCTTATTGGTAGGTTAAAGAAACTCAAAACAGGTATCTCCAGGCCTTTACCAATTCTCCCCCACCCCCACCCCGACTCTCAGCCTGAGCAGCTTCCATCACGTGGCTTTGTTAATACCTTACTGTTAAAAATGTTTAAACATCCTAGTGGGAATAAATCACCTTTAGGTTTTATACTCTTTCCTAACAACAAGAGACCACATATTGTGTGATTCTACTTAGGAAATGATGAGAATGGAAATAGCTATACAGACTAGTGGTTGCCTGGGTCTGGGAGTTGTGAGGCATGGGGATTGACTTCTCATGAGTATGGGGTTTCTTTTTGGGGTGATAAGGTTCCAAAATAGATTGAGGTGATGGCACAACTCTGGTAATAAACTAAAATCTACTGAATTGTAATTTAAATGGACGAGTTACATGTCATTATATCTCAATAAACCTGTTATTAAAAAGTCTAAACGAAAGAGAATAGAGGGGAATGTCTTTAACCTGAAAATGTATAAAAATGTAGAGCAATTTATTATTGACAAGATGAAGGCATTTGAGAAATGGAAAAAGACAAAAGTGGCCCCTTCCATTAAGTTTGGAAGTCTCAGCCACTGCAGTAAATGGAACCAAGGGTAGGAGACGTAATAGATTGGAAGATTATATAAAGAATAAACCTGTCACTACTCACGGATGATATGACTGTTAGGTAAACATTCAGAAGAATCTGCAAGTAAATTATCTGAAAACTCAGAGGTCTTAGTTGGATACAAAATAAACACTCGGAGGGTAAAAACAGAACAAGGCCCATGGAAGGGGGCAGTTGGCATTATCTAGTAACATTACACATGACCCAGTAAGTTAGCCTTTAAAAACAGACCCTAGTCCAAAAGAAACGTGCAAAAGCCATGGAGTGGGAACAACTCAGTAGTCCCAGGGGACCAGAATGCATCCGCATTACAAGAACTCTAAGAGGGAATGTCCTCCAGGAACTACTGAGTATTTCAAGATTACGTACTTAGTGGACGGAAATGGAGGTGCAGGAAACAGCATTTTCTTGGGGAAAAATGAAATCCGATCTGGGGAAAGGTATCATGGATGGATTTGAAGGCTCCGCACCCGCTCCCTGACCGTATCTCCTGACCCGCCTGCCCCCACGAGCGGTCGTGGTCCA